CTTCAGCAACCAAACACGCCCTTACAAGATTATTTTTATATTTTTACATATTAATATTACAATAAAATAAGGTTAAAACCCCATTTCGGTCCTTGAATTATTGCATGGACCCCTGATTTAGTTCTTGAACTAAAAAAATCCCTAATTTGATCCATACTGTTTACCAATTTTACCTCAACTTGCTCCTTCCATTAAAAATTCTCCATTAACTCACATACATCAAAATTTTAAGACACATCAGTTGTACAAATAGATAAATGATGACATGGCAACATGACAAGTCATATTCATACCCAACACAAAAACAAAAGTGGGGCCCACCAAATTACAATTTTGCCATCATCTTCTTCCTCCAACAGCCTCTTTCTCGAATCTTCCTTCATTCAGACACTCAATTCAATCAAAAAATTAAACAATCAATTCAAAGGAACCCAGCGCCTAGGTTGAATAGAACCCAATAGGTGCCTTTTCTTTTTCCTTCCTCTTCCTTGCCTTGCCTTTTTCATCGATCAATATTCTTCATCTTCATCAAACAACCAAACCCACAAAAAAAAAAAAAAAGAAATTTTTTTACCCCTGGGTTTGAGAAGAAACCCAAGGCCTAAGTTTGAAAGAAACCCAAGGCCTGGGTTCTCGAAGGAACCCAAGCGCTTGGGTTCGAGACGGAACCTAGTTCTTGGGTTCCATCAAACCCAGGTGTTGGGTTTGATGGAACCTAGCGGCAGCTACTGGTTCAATTTGCCCTCTGCTCTTCTAGGGTTCAAAAGGGAAGAAGGGGGAGAAGATAGTGAATTTGGGTAGGAGGTGGGCCCCACATTTTAATTTTTTTTTTTGTTGGCCGAGAATCTGACATGTTTTACGACATCTCCATGTGTACAACTATCGTGTTATAATATTTTGACATGTCATCATACTCTAGTTAATTAACGGGACACGTCACTACATTTTTAATGAAAGAACCAAGTTCGGGTAAAATTGGTAAATAGGAGGGATCAAATCAAGAATCTTTTTAGTTCAAGGACTAAATCGGGGTCCGTATAATAATTTAGTGACAAAATGGAGTTTTAACCATAAAATAAAGATAAAGTAGTATTTTTAATTTTTATTTTTCTTAATATTTAACTATCTATATATTGGATTCACATAATAACTTTTTTTATATCAATTTTTATCAGATATGACAAAATTAATAATTTAATAAAAGTTTAACAAAATTTCATTATAAAATTTAACAACTTTTTACAAAATATTTTTTAACTTTTCATGCAATAACTTCTTAATAACTTTTTTAGACAAAAAAAAAAAAAACTTTTTTTCTTACCTTTTTAGAAAAAACTTTCCTGATAAAATTTTGGTCTAACCAAACAGGCATAAGAGGAGTATGGTTTTTGATCCATTCTCGATGGTGGATTTTGATGGATTTCTTGATGGTGGTTCATAGCTAGGCCGTCCCAACTGTTACGAGTGTTTTGCTTTGGTTGTTGATTTACCGTAGTTTGAGCTATGGTCTTCAGGGTGATACTGATTGTTTGAAGAGCATAAAAGATTCTCTAGAGGACCCTTCTTGGTTACTCGATCCTACATGGAACTTCAACAACAACATTGAAGGGTTTATTTGTAGATTTACAGGTATTGAATGCTGGCACCTAGATGAGAATAAAGTTTTGAACATTCAGCTTCCAGATATGGGCCTCAAAGGTAAGTTTCCTCAAGGAATCAAGAATTGTTCAAGTTTGACTGGCTTAGATCTTTCAAACAATGAGCTATTTTGCCCAATTCCATTTGATATTCCAAAATACTCCAGTATGCAACTACCTTTAACCTCTCAACAAACAATTTCTCTGGTGAGATCCCAGTGAACCTAGCAAATGTTACCTTAATG